AGGGGGAAGCCACCAAGGAGGAATACACCTCCCTGGTGTGCTGTTGCAGGGAATCAGTTAGTTGGGCGAAGGCAGGATTGGAGCTTAGGCTGGCTACAACAATTAAGGACAATAAAAAATCCTTCCAAGGATACATAACGAGCAAAAGGAAGGCACAGAGTAACATAGGGCCCCTGCAGGACAAATCAGGAGAATTGGTGGTTGACACAAGGAAAAAGGTGGAGCTCTTCAATGTGTTCTTTGCTTCAGTATTCCTAAGTACTAACCAAGACAATCCCCGCACCTTGAGCATAGAGAGATGTCCAAAAGGCACCAGACCGCCAAAGGTTAGTGCTGACTTAGTTAAGGAGCACTTGGAGGGGCTGGATGGGTAGAAGTCAGAAGCCCGGATGACCTCCATCCACAGGTGCTGAAGGAATTGGGCAGTGTCATAGCTGAGCCACTGGTACGGCTGTTTGAGCATTCATGGTGCTCTGGCCAGGTCCCTGAGAATTGGAAAAGGGCCAGTGTGGTGCCCATTTTTAGAAGGAGAGAAGGGATGAGCCAGGTAATTTTACGCCAGTCAATCTTACCTCTATCCTTGGGAAAATACTGGAAAAAATAATCAAAGAATGCATTTGTGAAAGCCCAGCAGGGGAAATGATGCTGAAAGGAAACCAGCATGGGTTCGTCACAGGTAGATCCTGCCTGACAAACCTTATAGCCTTCTATGACCAGGTCACACAACGCCTTGACACAGGAGCTGAGGCTGATGTCATCTACCTGGACTTTAAGAAGGTCTTTGACACAGTTTCGCATACTATTCTCATAAGGAAGATAGCAGGCTGTGGAGTGGACATTTACACAGTTGGGTGGGTGGCCAACTGGCTTAGGGACCGCACCCAGAGAGTCATCGTGGATGGGTTGTTCTCAGCCTGGAAGGAGGTAGGCAGTGGGGTCTCTCAGGGTTCGGTCCTTGGACCGGTGTCATTTAATATCTTCATCAGCAATTTGGATGAGGGTGCGGAGAGCACCCTCTCCCAAGTTTACAGATGATACCAAGTTATGGGTCAAAGTTAACACACCGGAGAGCAGGGAGCAGATACAGGCCGATCTGGACAGATTGGATCAATGGGCAGAACGAAATAGGACGCAATTCAACAAAGATAAATGCAAGGTATACTCTGCCTAGGGAGGAGGAATCCCCAGCACACCTATAGGTTCGGGGATGACCTCCTCAGTGGCTGAGAGGGATCTTGGTGTCATAGTTGACTCCAAGATGAACATGAGCTGGTTGTGTAATGAAGCCATTAACAAAGCCAATCGCACCTTGTCGTGCATTATCAGATGCATGATCAACAGATAGAGGGAGGTGAAGCTCCCCTTCTATGCAGCATTGATCAGGCCGCAGTTGGAGTACTGTGTCCAGTTTTGGGCACCGCACTTCATGAGGGACACAGAGAATCTGAAGAGGGTTCAGAGGAGGGCCACTCGCATGATTAGTGGCCTCCGTGAAAGACCCTACGAGGGAGGCTGAGGGATCTGGATCTCTTCAACCTTCACCAGAGATGTCTGAGGGGAGACCTTGTAGCCACCTATAAGTTTATCAAGGGAGGACAACAGAGAATTGAAGATGAGCTATTTACCAGAGCCACCCCTAGGAGTAACTAGGAATAATGGGTGCAAACTAGTGGAGAGTAGATTCAGGTTAGACATCAGGAAGAAATTGTTTACAGTAAGGGTGGCCAGAATCTGGAATGGGCTTCCAAGAGAGGTGGTACTATCACCTAACTTGGAGGTCTTAAAGAGGAGGCGTGATAGACACCTGGCTGGGGTCATCTGACCTTGGTCCTATTTCCTTCTGACTCTACAATCTATGAATGTGGAAAGCATTGCTCCATTAAATAGTCACTGGAAGCCCCAAAAAGGGTCAAGTGAAAAATAACCTACCTATAATTTTCTTCAGGTGGTATTCAGTGATTTTTGGAAGGTTTAGAGTAGATAGGACCAGCCATTCTCGAGTTATAAGTGAACATACATACAGACATACACTTCATTTTATATATAGATATAGTAAAAGCTCTGTTATCTGGCATCTATGGCAAATGGGGGATGCTGGTTAATCAAATGTGCCAGTGAATCAAATATGCTGTGTCTGGCCCCATGCTTTGCCCTGGGCCATGTTCCACAAGGAAGAAGTGGGACTTGGCTTGTGGTGGCGAAACCAGAAGTGGGATCTCCGGTTTCACTTTTGCCGCATTCCTCAGAAGGAAGATTTGTATTGACACATGCTGGTTAGTGGAGCGTTCTAGATGGTAAAGTGCAAGATAACATGGCTTTTCCTGTAGATTAAAGTGCCTCAGCTTTCTTCATTTACAAAAGCTGGAGTATACAAGTCCATGGGGGAGTTGGCCAATGTGATTGCAGAGCCACCAGCCATTACCTTTGAAAACTTGTAGTGATAGGGGGAGGTCCCAGACAATTGGAAAAGGGCAAATATAGTGCTCATATTTAACAAAGGGAAGAAGGAGGTTCTAGGGAACTATAGACCAGTCAGCCTCACCTTAGTCCTAGAAAAATCATGGAGCATGTCCTCAAGGAATTCATTTTTAAGGACTTGGAGGAGAAGAAAGTGAGCAGGAACAGTCAGCATGGATTCACCAATGGCAAGTCTTGCCTGACCAACCTGATTGCTTTTTATGATGAGATGACTGGATCCTTGGCAAGTTCATGGATGACACCAAGGTAAAGGGAGTAGTAGATATGCTGGAGGGTAAGGTTAGGGTTCAGAGGGACCTAGATAAATTGGAGGATTGGGTCAAAATAAATCTCATGAGGTTCAACAAGGACAAGTGGAAAGTCCTGAACTTAGGACAGAAGAATCCCATGTACTGCTACAGGCTGGGGACTAACTGGCTAAGTAGCAGCTCTGCAGAAAAGAACCTGGGAGTTACAGTGGACAGTAAGCTGAATATGACTCAACAGTGTGTGTGCCCTTGTTGCTAAGAAGGCTAACAGCATACTGGGCTGCATTAGGAGGAGCGTTGCCTGCAGGTCGAGAGAAGTGATTCTTCCCCTCTATTTGGCACTAGTGAAGCCACACCTGGAGTACTGTGTCCAGTTCTGGGGTCCCTCACTACAGAAGGGATGTAGACAAATTGAAAAGAAACCAGCAGAAGTCAGTGAAAATGGTGAGGGGGCTAGAGCAATGATATCTGAGGAGAAGCTGAGGGAACTGGGCTTATTTAGAAGAGAAGACTTGAAGGGAGATTCGATAGGAGCCTTCAGCTACCTGAATGGTGGTTCCAAAGAGGATGGAGCCGGACTGTTCTCAGTGGTGGCCGATGACAGAAGAAGGATCAATGGTCTCAAGTTGCTGCAAGGGAAGTTTAGGTTGGATATTAAGAAAAACTTTCTAACTAGGAGGGTGGTGAAACACTGGAATGGGTTCCCTAGAGAGACAGTGGAATCTCCATCCTTGGAGGTTTTTAAGGCCTGGGTTGCCAAAGTCATGCCTGGGATGATCTAGTTGGGGATGGTCCTACTTTGAGCGGGAGGTTGGACTAGATCAGTGGTTCTCAACCTTTAGTACCTTACATACCACCTGCCAATTGATGCAAAAAAAGTGAAACCAGAAGTCCCACCGCGGCACTTCTGGTTTTACTGCATGAACCAAGTCCTACTTCTTCCTCACAGACCATGGCCTGGGAAAGCAGCCTGAATGGGGCCCCCCTCCCTGTCCCCTAGCACACTGATGCCGGGGAGTCAAAACCCCAACATACTGTATATGGTGGTAGGGGCAGTGGCCGGAATTTTCATCCCAAACAGGCAGACTTCTCCAACCCGTTCGGTGGGGGTGTGGTGGGAAGGACCAAACTCGAAACACAGCACCCGCCTACCCCCTGCTCTTGTCTCACTTGCCCCGAGGGGTGCATGTGCCATGGGTTTAGAAACAGTGGACTAGGTGACCTCCTGAGGTCCCTTCCAACCCTAATTTTCTATGATTCTATACACAAATTGGACATTCAGGAGCCATTGATAGTATGTGAGACTTATGTCAAAATTTCATCCAGAGCCTTTTTTTAAGAAACAAAGGTTTGATACTGCAGTCTATGCAGACTTTTAGTAGAGAGGAGGTGAGAAATGCTACAACAGTGTTTCAAAAATTAGTTGAAGCCCTTTTATCTTTACTCACAAATACCAACTGCTTTGCAAATGGCAAACACTTATTTTCTTTCAGCTGATGGTGTCTCTTTTAGAGATGTACGTTATGCCTGTAAAAGCATTCAGAGTATTACAACATCACCAAACTACACTGTTCCTTCTATTTTGGGAGCTAAAACAGTAAAGCCAACTTTATTTAGTCCATATGGTACCACACACAAATGGTTACATTGCAGATACATTATAAAGGAGAATTCACATAATTGGAATCTTAGCACCTTTCAGTGGATGTGCTTCAGGGATAGTGTCATGTGTACTTAAAAGGGAGCGCTGCAGAAAAAATTATGTTTTTTTTGCTGAATTTCCCAATCAAAACATGATTTTATCATCACCCAGTGTTGATATCTGGAAGCAACAAAAGCTGCTGAAAAATAAAAAACAACTTGCAGCTTTCTCCATGCATCATTCCTAAAAAATGCTCGTGTTGGAATTTGAACATTCTGTCTCTGTTAGACCATGAGATGCAACATATACAACAATCACTTGATTCTTTTTTCCATCCAAAAATCTTATATGATACCGCAGGGTTAAAGGTGACCAAAATCTCTCTTGACTCATAACGCTAAACAGCTGTAATAAAAAGGTCATTGTGATCATACATAGCGTTAATATATGTGTGGGTCAGGTGCCCAAAATGCCAGAAAAAGTTCTTAATGTTATCAATCTAAATATTAAAAATTAATTACTATTAACTTGCATTATTGAATTAAACCAGAGGTATACATTTTGTTAAAATGCATATTTAAATACAATGTTTTGATGTTTCAGTTCAGTGAATTTTCCTTTGTTTTAAACAGAAAAAGCCATTGTCTGCAATAATAAAAGAAGTCTGTGATGGGTAAGTTCTGCTCTGTATCTAGAAACTGAATATTATATTTTCTTTCATTGCTAAAATAAATAACAGGCATAGATTTTCTGCAGGATCATTCAGATGTCCATAGATACTGCTGATTAGTTTAATAAATTTTGAAGTTGTTTTATCTTTAAACTTAGAATAGGTAATATCTATTGAATCAATTGCTTGAAAGGCTGTGCATTGGCATGGACTTACATTTATTTCTGTTAAGATGGAAATTTATTTCTATGCAGAAAGCCAACAAAATGCCTATGTATTGTACCAGTGGGCGTGTCTATGTAAGATATTTACTGTGCAGTAGACTAATTAGCTCTGCGGTAAATGTCACATGTCCACACGTGCGCCTCTATTAGGCTGCAGTAAATTAATTTACTCTGCAGCACGATAGTATTTATAAATACAAGTCCTATCCTGCTGCAGAGTAAAAAAACTGCAGCAGCACATATGTAGACACTGCCCTGGCTGGCTGGGGCATGAGGGCACTTCAGTGAGGAGGTGCCTGCCAGCTAGCTCTATGCTGAAGCACCCTTGTGCCCCAGCCAGCCCCTCCGCAGCACATTGAGCCAGGCAGAGCAGTCCCAGGCTGGCAGGTTGATCTGTTGATTCCCCAGCCACCTGGGGCTGCTCTGAGCTGGCTCAATGTGCTGCCATCCTGAGCGCACATGTAAATGCGCCCCTGGGATCAATAAGTACTGGAGTTTTTTGCATTGCATTAATATGTAAGTGTAGCTGTGTCCAGTGAGTGGTATTAAGTGCTGAAGGGAGAGAGTTTACCTTAAAACTTTAGAGTGCACCTACTTTTATTGTCCAGATGTTCCAGTTCACAATTTAGGAGATCACTGAATAGATTGCAATATGTATTTTTAAGTTTAGCTGCTGTAACTGCTGTGCAATTGTCTATTTCCTGGTACTAGTGGCATGGAACTGAAATATTGAACATAATAATCATGTTGCCAAGCTGGTGTAATAATTGAGTAAGAAGCAGGAGAAACTGTAGCATTTTAAATATTTAAACAGCAGGTTTAATATGTGTAAAATAATGCTCTTTTAATTAATTTTATCCAGTATTATAGCAGAGCTGAAACTTATTTACAGTCATTTAAACTATCGCTAAAATATAGTAAAAATTAATTATTGTATTATTATTTTATTATTTGAATACTAACTGTGTCCCTAGCACTGAGAATAACAACCCAATTTTTTCTTCAATCATGTTTCCAGCATAAGGGTTTGACATTATAGAAAAATGCTATTTATTGTAATGACTTCAGTAAGTCTCCCATGCTGATGAAAACTACACATAGCGTGCTTCTATATGAGACATTTTACTCTATTAGAGCCAATTACTGTGCAGTAAGCGTCATTGTCTACACATGCAGATTCTTACTGCATAGTAATTGGCTCTAATCATGAGTACATTTGCTACCTGTAAATACAAGTAGCAAATCTACTCCTGATTATGTATTGTTCAGTAGTGAATGTGTAGATGGCTGACCAGGAGCAAATGTGCTCCTGGTCAGCTGGGCAGCAGGAGGTGGGAAATTGCTTCCTGCCCCTAGGAGCTGCCTGCTGCTGGGGTGGGCTGTACCACTGGTGCCTGGGTGGGGACAATGTCCCCCTGCCCTGGCAGCAGGGAGATCCCAGCCCCTGCTTCATGATCACAATCGGGGAGCGAGAGATGGGAGATTCTTATCTCCCAGCCCTAGCTCTGTAGTTGGGAGGGGGACGGGCTGTGGCTATGAGATGCAAATCTCCCAGCCCAGGCCCTGCAACTGTGGAGTTAGGGCTGTAAGATAAGAATTTTCCATCCCCAGCCCTGCAATCACAGGGCAGGGGCTGGGTGCTCCCTGATGCTGGGACAGGGGGATGTTGTCCCTGCCTGGGCTCTGGTGACAGAGCTCACCCTGGCAGCAGGCAGCTCCTGGGGGCAGGGAGAAATGACTCAGACCCTGGCAGGAGACAGCTGTCTCTTGGCCCTGTGTTTCCTGCCAGCCCCTAATCTAGCATCCAGGGGGAGCCTAGAGCTGCTGGGGCCAGTGTGGGGCTGGTCTGGAGTGATCAGCAAATCTGCTCCCATGTCCCTGCACATGTAGATGCTTCCCCATGGTGGGTTTACTCTAGTAAACCCTGGAGTGTTTGCATGTTTAGATGCGCCCATAGTGATGTTCATAGGACTGAGCCAAAAACTCAGATCAGATATCTTTTATTTTAAACAATGTGCTGCCATGCAGAATTTAATCTACTTCATACTTCAGCAATTTTGTCCCCACAAAAAGTTTTATATTCAATTTTGGTATTTGAAATAAGTCTTTGCATTTGTAGCATCTCCCTTAGTCTAACCCATGTGAAGCTTAGGTCTTTTGGTTTCAAATATTCAGACAGGGAGGAACAGAACTACATTATATTTAGCATTGGTGTTTGTTTTTCTTTCTCTCTCTCTCTCTCTCCTTTGTTCACTGGACCCATTTAAAGCTATAGGTAGATGTAAGAAGCATGTGAGTAAACTGGACTCTTGCTTGACAGCTGTAAATTTCTATAATGCAAACATTTCTTTCTTTCACTTTCTGATTCCTTTATTTTCATATTTTTAAGGTGGTCTCTTGCAAACCATGACTATTATGCACTGCAACATGCTGATAGTTCTAATTTCTACATTACGGAAAAGGTATGTAAACTAATCCACCTTACTTCTGCATGTTCTATTAAAATGAATTTTGAAGCTCATATATAGAGGAGGAGGAAATATTTTTCTTTCTAAGTACCTAGACTAGCCAGGTTGGAATGAGTCAGCCTTGCATCATTCTGCCTAGCTGTCTGAATTCTACATGGAAACGTAATAACACATTTCCACATCAGAACTGCAATACCAATATCTGAGTGCTTTTCAGTGGAATTTCCCATTAGTTAGGACTGGTCAGTATGCTGCCACTGATTTCTTCTTATTAATTGAGATGACTCTGAGCTGTAATTTCAGAAAATGTGTTACATATTTAGAGCCACTAAACTACTGCTGCTATCAGTGGGATGGTACAAAATGTAAAACGACAGAATTTGGCTCAGAGCCAAATAAGGATTATAGTTTAAGCTTGGGAGCTAATCATGACAACCTTTTTTGCTGAGTAGAGGGGTCTGTACATTTTGGCTATACTAGCAAAATATGGCCACTGTAGTTCACTCCTGCCAGTAGCATTTTTACCACTGACCCTGTAGCCCTGGTTAAACTAAATAGCAATTGTTGGATGGTTCTATTTAAAAACAGCAGAGATGATGATTGTTGAGTAATGACATAAGGTTTTGTGTACTTTCTGTAAGAAATTCCAAGTCCAGGGAATAACATCATCCTAAATTGAAATTGACTCTTAAGATTGCAGTTCATTGGATATATAACGTCACAGATTATTTAGTGCTTGTGTGAGCCAGTTCAGATAAAGGTAAAGTTAGTGTTATCTTACACTAAATTTAGTATGATCTCTGAGCTTTGCCACCTTGTAATGGTTTGTATAAAAACATTTCCATTTTTAAACACTGTTTGTAATGTGTACACATGAAGTGGAAGGAACAGAAGTTTGCAAACTTTAAATGCTAAAGGGTAAGAGTCAAAATCTTGATTTGAACCTTACAATGTACTGTGTACAATGTACATGGAAGATTTCAAGCCTCATTGGGAGCACAGGGTATAAATTTGTGGTTCCCAACCCTGGGTTGCGCCCAAATGAGGGTCACAGGGACAATGCTGGTGGTACCACACACAAAAGCGCCCCATATCGGGAGCTCCCCCAGCCCCAGGCCACTGCCATCACTGCCACAGCCCGCTCCCAGCAGTGGGTCACAGAAAACAAGGTTGGGAACCACTGGTATAAACTAATGTATATATTGTCCAACAGCATACACTCTATTAATTAAGAATTGCCACTCATCATTAACTTGTCAGTTGATTGATTAAAATTTGTTTGGTTGTTTTTAGAATTGCTGGTGTAAATATTTAAAAAATGTGAAATAAGACTGCTGTTCAGAGCCTTGATGTCTATGAAGTCTATTCAGATTGCAAACATTCAATCCTTCAACCGCTGGCATGTGTACATAGTCAGTATGCTATCAGGAGGAAGTTTACAGGAAATTAAAATATATAAGATGACAGTACTTGTAGGCTAAAGAAAGCTTTAGCACACTACTTCTGTTTTTTCTCAGTGGCTGATCTAGTTGAAACTAAGTGCAAGGACTGTGTAATGCTTGCCACCTCCCTATTACAAGCTGCATTTCCATTCCAGCGTTGTATATGTTATTCTAGTCCAAATTTTTTAGATCCCCAGATGCCCTGGCAATAAGCGATTCACAAAAATAAACAATTATGTAAGCATAAAGAGTAATTAATTATTGTAGCTCCACTAAAACTGGAATATGTAGTCAGAAAATGATATAGTCATTTAAACATTTCTAGGTTCTAATGTATTTCCAGTGTAACTGCTGAGCTTGTTAAAATTACAACAATGAATTTGGTCTAAAGATTGCGTGTGCTGTGGTGCTACAAAGATGGTATTCTTAACCCGGGCAGAAAAGGCCTGATCAGAAACTTGCTGAAATAAATAGGAAGATTCCATGATTTCACCAGAGGACTCTGGAACATGTCCTGGTGGAGCTGCATAGATTTTTTTTTTCTAGCTGTTTTCTTAATAGCAGTTTGGTTTTGACCCAGCTGGGACTTCTGATGAATTGGGCAGATGCTCATTGTATGGTCACCAGCTGCTTAGTGTAGTTCCAGTTGGAACTTGAGCCCATTTTACTTCCTCAACTCAAAATAGTGGGGGGATGGGGAAGAGGAGGAAGGTGGAAGAAACTTTGATGACAGTTAAATGTGTAGAAAGACTGAATTTAGCAAGATGGTAGAGAGGCTGCCTACTAGATTGATTTGCTTATACTTTTTAAACAGACCACTTTCAGTTTTTCATGGAAAAGTTTGTCACCGCAGGCAACTTTCTCCATATCCCCCAGCTGATGGCAGGATCACCCTCCTTTTCTTTTGTTCCTCTTTAAAAATGTAAATGGATAGATGCATCAAAGGGTTCCATGAAGGAAACTGTTGAAGTAGTTAATTTAGGGAGTGGCTGTTGTTCTTCTCTCTTCCTGAATTAAATAACGTGAATGCTTTTGCAAATCTAATTAAATTGTGACACACATTTTTTAGCAAACAAGGCACAACTGAACTTGCTTATTTGCACTTAATTGCTCTGTGTTTAAAAATGCTTCCAAGAAGCAAAATTTGAGCAAATACATCGACTATCTGAGTGGATGGAGTTGGGGGTACATTTATTTACACAGAACTCCTCAGTCTCACCTCCACCCTGCATGATTGTGTCATGAAGATAATTCATGAGGGGTATCTGTTCTGTTCACTAGGAAGTTTAGAGATTTTAAAATGTTTTTAGTTCATCTTAAGGCAGGGAAGGGACTAACAGTACTCTTTTGGGTGTACTGAATGAAGATTTTGAGGAGTTCATTTATTTCATCTTGGAAATATGTAGCGTGTCTGACACTGAGTCACAAAAATGAGAGAGAAAACAGCATTAAATGCCACCAGTATTACTTGGTATGACTGTGACTTTAGTAAATGTTGTTCACTGTTTATCACTGCCTGTTAGATGAAGGCTGTAAAGAGAGGCTGGTGCCCCTTCTACATGGTCTACCCACCCTCTTCTTAGGAATATGCTGTTCCTTCCCCAATTATTGCAGGAAAAACACTAGGGGTCATGCCAATCCTGTGTTCTTCAGGGAAGCTAATGAATAGCTGGACTAAAGCACGGATCACTTTAACTCTCGTGCTGGACAATTTACACTTAACTCTTATGGGAGGTGAGCACTAAAGCAAATTATTTTGTGCCTTAAATAAAGATGAATCCTGCCCTACATAGGTGTTCAGAAGTCATTTTTGCAGGTCATATTTGCTGAGTTTGTTGCTTGTTAATTTATGACCTTTCTGCTCTAGATGCCTATTATAAGACTTGCCATATTTAAGTTTTTGAAAAGAAAAGAAGCACAAAAGTCTATATGAAGTAACAGGAATCTTTTTGTTTCATGAATATGAGACTGTTCGTGGCTTACAATTATTTTTATTTTTGGGTGGTGAGTAGTACATAGGTGCCTTGGTTGTTATAAGGAGAACTCATATTTTTATATTTGATCTTCATTTTGACATGCTGACTTTTTAAAACAAAAAACAAACAAGCTCTCCTTCCTCCACACTAGAGTTGCCATATGTCTGGGTTTTCCCAGGCATGTCCTCTTTTTTGGCCGTTTTCCTCATGTCTGGGCAGGTTTTTAAAAATGAGAGCAAATGTCCAGTTTTTTCTCTGCTCTCCTGGGCCGGCTGCAGGGGCAAGCTGCTGCGGGTTGGAAGTAAGGGGTACTGGCAGGGCTGGGTGGCAGGGGGCTGTGGGTTGGGAGTGAGGGGGGCTGGCAGGGGTTTAGGAGTGAGGGGCAGAGGCAGGGTATGGGCATATGATTGCCCTCCTCCCCACTTTTATATGCCTCTCCCTAAGATCACTAAGAATAAATCACTATTCCTCTCCCCTGCTTGCTTTACACTTGAATAGCATACTTCCCCCAGCACACCTTGCTAGTAAGGTTGCTCCAACCCCCTGTCCATGGCCTCAGACCATGGTTCTGTACTGTATATTTGACATAAATGGCTATGACTAGGGTCCTGCCAACATTCTGGGTAGGCCCTGCAAAAAAGCATGAGCTCTGTGAAAAAACATGGGGTCTGCCCTTTTGGCAGGCTCCACTGGAAAAAAAAAAAAAAAAAAAAAAAAAAAAAAAAAAAAAAAAAAAACCTCACCGAAAATAAAATACTGCCTTCCTCTGGGTTTCCAACAGTTCTTGTGGCTGTTGTGGCCACTTGGGCTAGTATGATAAAGTTTGTGGCCTGGCTGTGAAGCCTGCCATGGTGGGGGTAGGGGATGGGTGGGAGGGGAATGGGAGAAGGGGAGCTGAAGAGGAAGTGTGTTTTGATTGAACTGGAGAGAGGAGCAGGTATAAGCTAAAGGAAAGCAACTCACCCTTTTATTTAAAAAGAGGGAAAAAAAAAAGTTCCTCCTGGAGTTTGTATCTTCTTTAAACATAATGAAACTTCATTCATTCATTTTGGCTGCAGTCAGGTTTTAGTCAGTCACATTTTTTTTTTTTTTGTTGCCATCAAGCTTATTTCTGACACCTGCAAAGACGCCCCATTTCTGTTTCTTTTGTACCACCTACGGTTTGCTTTCATTTGTAAAAATTTCACTTACAAACATCAGTGCATGAAAGAGGGAGTGGGCAGTGGGTTCTCTCCATTTATTTTGAGAATATTTTATATTTGTATTGTTTTGCAATAATGTCAATACCTTGTTTTTCAACTTTTTGCTCCCTCCCCCCAAGTAGTCAGCTCCATAGTCCATTTGCAAATGCAACGCTCTGTTTTGTGAAATGAGTATAGTAACCTGCATTCCTTTTGTCTTAAAGGCACTTTTACTTGTGACCTATTTTTCGGTGAATAAAACCTGTAATCGTATATTCTGGTGAAATTCCACCACACCATTGTAAGCTCTGTGTGTAGGAGGCTATGCAAATGATAGAACAAGAAATGAACCTTTTTGTAGTCTTTACTTTTTCATTACTGTTTCTGTTGAGCTG